TTCAGCAAGATTTTACTTATGTGTGATATTAATGATATTGTTAGATAATTTCCACATTCTGTGGGATCACCTTTCTTTGGAACGAGCACAAATATGGCTCTCTTCCAGTCAGTTGGCCAGGTAGCTGTCTTCCAAATTTCTTGGCATAAACGAGTAAGCCCTCCAGTACTGCATCCATTTGTTGAGACATCTCATTGGGTATTTCATCAGTTCCTGGAGCCTTGTTTTTCTCCAGTGCCTTCAGTGCAGCTTTGATTTCTTCCTTCAATACCATTGGTTCTTGATCATGTGCTACCTCCTGAAATGACTGAATGTCAACCAATTCTTTTTGGTACCATGACTCTGTGTATTCCTTCTGTCTTCTTTTGATGTTTCCTGTATCATTCAATATTTTGCCCACAGAATCCTTCAATATCGCAACTCAAGGCTTGAATTTTTTCTTCAGTTCTTTCAACTTGAGAAATGCCAAATGTGTTCTTCCTTTTTTGGTTTTCTAATTCCAGGTCTTTGCACATTTCATTATAATAATTTATTTTGTCTTCTCGAGCTGCCTTTTGAAATCTTCTCTTCAGATCTTTTACTTTATCATCTGTTCCATTTGGTTTAGCCACTCTCTGTTCAACAGCCATCTTCAGAGTCTCTTTTGACATCCATTTTGGTCTTTTCTTCCTTTCCTGTCTTTTTAATGACCTTCTGCTTTCTTCAGGTGTGATGTTCTTGATGTCATCCCACAACTCATCTGGTCTTTGTCATTGGTGTTTAACACGTGAAATCTATTCTTCAGATGGTGTCTAAATTCAGGTGGGATATAATCAAGGTCGTATTTTGGCTTTTATGTACTTGTTTTAATTTTCTTCAGCTTCAACTTGAATTTGCATATGAGCAATTGATGGTCTGTTCCAGAATCAGCTCTTGGCCTTGTTTTGACTTATGATACTGAGCTTCTCCATCAACTCTTTCCACAGATGTAGTCGATTTGATTCCTGTGTATTCCATCTGGCAAGGTCCACGTGTGTAGTCACTGATTTTGTTGTGGCAAAAAGGTATTTGCAATGAGTAAGTCATTGGTCTTGTAAAATTCTATCATGTGATCTCTGGCATCATTTCTTTCATGGCACTTAGGACACCTGAATTAAGTGTAAATCACTTGTTACTGGGTTTCTTCTGTTCAGAGTGGCTTTGGTGGATAGAGAGATATATGATCACAAAAACTGGGAATCTTGACTGTTTCTCACTCCCTGTATCCTTAGAAGGCATGAAATAATTTCATTTTTTAAAAAAAAATTAAACTGATCTTTGTTTTCTCTTCTTGAATTGATTTACCTGCAGGAGATGGAAATTTTAAGGAAGCAGAAGGAGTGTCTTGCAGAGGAAAATGGAAAGTTGGTAGGTCACCAAAACCTACATCAGAAGATTCAATACGTAATCCGGCTGAAAAAGGAAAATGTCAGACTTGTGGAGGTAAACTGAAAAGTAGTCTGAAATACTCACTCTGCTCTCAAAATCATATTTAATTAAAAGTAAATTCAAATATAATTATTGAATCAATTATTTCTTCTGGGAAGTTTCCTGAATTCAGAAACTTTCTGTCATTACTATCTATCAAATATATTTCAATCAGTTAAATTATCATTAACATCAGATTCTCGTTTCATGTTAGTTTACAAATTGAAAATACTATACTCTTAATTTGGAACATAAACTTCTGAAGACCAAGATGAAGAACTCTTTTCTAAAAGAACTACAGCCTTAATGTTTTTCCTTTTCATGATTTACTAGGAGAAAGAAAAGCTGCGTGCTGAAAATGTATTCTTAAAAGAAAAGAAAAGGAGTGAATCATAAAGATCCTGATCACCTGGTCAAACAAGGCATCATCGTGTGTAGAAATTGTTTTCTGTATAAAAGTAAGATCTCCTTTGCCTAAATAGTTGAGCTGAATTTAAGGACCTGAATTATTAAATGTGGTGGTGGGGGCTGAGCCTCAAATGAGCATTCTGCATCCATACACACCCTGTGGTAGTCTGCTGTTTAGGAGGCTATGAGCCCATTTCACACTTAAGTTAGCAGTAAATGCTGGAAAAATCTTGTGCCTTTTTAAAAATAAGAGTCTGGGGTTCTTACAGTAGAAGTGGGTGGGAGCAGACATTTTTCCTCATGTACTGCCATAATCTTCTTTGATTCTTATGTTAGAAGCTCTAGCAATATTTGGTCAAAGGCAGACTTGTTAATATAGATTATTTTTGTATTTCTACTTTGAGTATTTTCATGAGCATTTATCATGACTGTAAATAAGACCTTTTTTTTCCCCAAAAAAATGTAATAAAATCTTTGATAAAGAATAAATAGTTTGATCAAGTGATTTACATTGTTCATTCAACAAATACTTACTGAGCACCTACTATATGCCAGACATTGGTCTTCAGTGAACAAAGCAAACAAAACTCCTGACCTCAAAGAACTTTCAGGTATCACAACTTCATTAATTTTTATTGCAAGGAATATTCCATTCTATTTTATCCATTTTCCAGTTAATAGACATTTAATTTATTTTCAGTTTGAGGCTATTGTGAATAATTCTGGTATAAACATTCATGTATAAGTCTTGATATGGACATGTTCCATATCTCTTGAGTAGACAGATACCTAGGAGTAGAATTGCTGGCTGGTGTGGTAAATATGTTTAGCTTTATAAGCCATGGCCTATTTTCCATAGTGGCTGCACTATTTTATATTCCCACCAGCAGTGTGTTCAGATTTCTCCACAGTTTTGCCAACCCTTCTTATTCTCAGGTTTTGATGACAGTCATACAGTGAGTGAGCAGTGGTATATTACTTGCATTTTCCTAATGACAAATGATATTAAGCGTTTTTCTACATTATGGAACACTACTGAGCAATTAAAAATAAAAAAAGGAGGGGGGACAAACCACTGACACATACTGCAACAACATATAAATGAACTTCATAAAATATTATGCTAAGTGAAAGGAGCCAGACTCATTATTGTGTGATTCCATTTACATAAAATTTCCAAAATAAGCAATTTCATAGAGACAGAAAGTGGATCAGTGGTTGCTAGAGGCTGGAGATAGGAGCAGGAATGACTGGGCATACAGGAACTTTGTGAGGTAGTAGAAATGTTTTAAAACTGTTTGTGTAATGTTTGTGGTAATGGTTGCACAACTCTATAAATTCCCCAAAAACTGAACTTTAAATGGATGTTTTGTAAATTATACCATAATAAAGCTGAATGAAAAAATGTTTAAGAAATTAATACACAGTTAACTCTCTAGAAATAATAGTAAATCTTCAATAACCAGAAACAAAAAAGGAACTAACATTGTAAGGTTAAGAGCAGACATTGTGACTGGCTAAAAAATACAAACTTACTGCTTTGGCATCACTTCCAACTCACAGTGACCCCTTTTTGGGTTTCCAAGGTAGTATCTCTATTCAAGTAGATCACCCAGTTTTTTTTCCAAGGAGTGGGTGGTGGGTTTGAACCGCCAGCCTTCTGGTTAGTAGTAAAATGTCTTAGGCACTATGCTACCAGAGCTCCTTTGTGATTGCCTAGGAGGTGGGGAAAGGTCAGATCTTCACGCTGGTAAATAAAGAAGCTTGGGTTCTATCACCTAGAATAAGGAAAGGAGATCAGACTTCGGACTAGCTCAAGAGAGGGAGTTACAATTGAGGTTTCTGCATAAATCTCAATCCCAAGGAGGGCAGGGATCTTGTCTGAGGTATCTGGGCAATTCTGCTTCCTGGAACTGGGTCTGGCAGAGTGTACACTCATTTTTTAAACTGAATAGAACCACGAAGGAGTAGAGATATGAAAACAGTGAAAAGAAGAAAGGGAAGAGACAGGCAAGATGGGGGAGAGAAAAAGTGAGATCTAGAATGGGCAGGCAAGAGTTAAGAAGAAAAACAAGACAAGCAGAAGATACTTTTAAAAGGAAGGAAAAAAAGGAATGGAGAAAGAAAATGACCTGGAAAGAGGATATAATGGGGGACAGGCAAGGAGGAAGAAAGCTGATACACCTGGACTTGGACTAAGGTTTCAGGGGGAGGTGATTGCTCTTTTACTGTTTATTGTTGTTGTTGTTGTTATGTGCCGTGGAGTCGGCCCCGACTCATAGCGACCCCTCCTTGGGTTTCCGAGGCAGTATCACTACGGAAGTAGGATTGCCCAACCTTCCTTCCGAGGAGTGGCTGGTGGGTTTGAACCGCCAGCCGTCTGGTTAGCAGGCAAGTGTCTTAGCCACTATGCTACCAGAGCTCCCTATTTATTGAGCATCTACCAAATGACAAGTGTCCTAAGTGCTGTAGCTATAGAAAGGTAAGGGAGAACATAATGTGTTGTGGCAGAAAGTGGGATAGGGAGGAAGCCTATTTTAAAGGGAGGGTGATCAAAAAAGGCCCATCTCAGGTGCTATAGTGAAATTAGTTCCTTTATGTGGACTTTTGCCTTGGTTCTTTGGAAAAACAGCTTGAGAGATTTTTCCCCTAAACCCTGAGGAGTTTACCTTTGTCCTAGGTTTCTACCCCAAAGGTTTTGTAACGTTTCTGGGTAGACTACACAACTTGGTTTAATATTTTTTGGGTGGCCCTGGGCTGCAGCTTGCCACGTAACTGGTATCCATCTTACAGGGATTGGTCAATATAGTATGCAAAAGACGTAACTATGAACTATGCAAATGAAGTGTCTGTGGCCTACTCAGAGATTGGTCAGTTTGTGGCCTGCTCACAAATCACCCAAACCCAAAGGAGGAGGCCTCCCACCGCTCCAGGAGTAGGGCGCGATGGTAAATCCCAGACGCCCGCAGTTAGCTGGGGCCTGGGGGCCACGCCCCTACTCCGCCGAAGCACCCGGGAAACGCGAACTGGACGCCCTGCTCACGTCACGTGAGCTCCTCATCACGTGAGCCCGCCGTCCAATAGAGGTGCGCGCTGGATCTTGTCTGCGGTAGACACGGCAAGCTAGTGGGGAGTTGGCGGAGACTATGGCTGGCAGGCCGCAGTCCCCGAGCAGTGCGGTTTGTGCGGCCGCCTACCCCGACACCCCCGCGGAATTTCCCCCGCACCTCCAAGCCGGAGCGATGCGGCGCCGTTTCTGGGGCGTGTTCAACTGCCTGTGCGCCGGCGCTTTCGGGGCCCTGGCCGCCGCCTCCGCCAAGCTGGCCTTCAGCAGCGAGGTCGAGCTCGGGGCGCTGCTGCTGCGGGCGGACGGGTGGTGTTGGGCGGAGGAGGGGCGCTACGGGGCCCGCGGGGCTCCCGGCGTAGGGCGGGGGTGCAGGCGCAGGGCACTGCCTCACCCGCGGGTCTGTGGGGCCTGGTCCCGCAACCACAGCACTGCTGTCCGCCGGGGTAGGAGAGCATCTTTCGACTCTAAATCCCGTCAAGCCTTTGTCCAGTATAGGCGGTAAGAGATGTAAGGGACTGAGGCCTCTTCCCATACCAGAGACCTAAAATCTCTCTTCCGATTGGGTAGTTCGTTTTTGGGGAAGTCATACACCTATACCCATCCTCTACCTCTCATTTAGAATCTTTCCACGTTGATTCTTAGAGAACCCTATTGCCCATCTCTATTTCATAATTAGCAGGTGATCTAACTTACCTGTTTGCAGACGGGAAAATTGGGAGAGTGTGGTATCCTAGGTGTAAGAGAAGACTGAGAAGAACATTCTGGATAGTCTCGTGACGCTGAGAACTTCAAAACTGCCTCCCCACATCTGCTGAGGTGTCTGCATCTCCCCACCCAAGTCATTAGTCAGCCTCTGCTTGCTAGAGGTTTCATTACATCTGCAACGCAGATTTAGGCTCTGACCTGGACAGGAGAGAGACTGAAGGCAAGATTATTTCGGTTAGGGCTAATCCAGTGGAAGCTACCACGCTTGAGGTTAATATACTATTAGTTGAATTTTTGGGGTACATGGTCCAAAGTAAGATGAGTGATTCTATTGACCATGAGTTTTTCATCTTTTCTGGTGTGATTCATGCCTCTAACCCTTTATAAAAAGGGCTTACCCAAATACTCATACCATGCCTTTGTGTAAACTGTAAGAAGGCATCCCTTGCCCAAGACCCTGTATTCAGCTGTTGTGGAACTATTAATCACTTTAGGGTATGATGTCTAGATGGGCACAGCCTTTGGAGGAAGCAGCCCTGCCCAGGAGAATACAAGACTCCAATCTACAACAGCAACCACAGAGTCTTCCTCCAACATTTGGCCCCAGTGTCGTTCCCAGTGCACAGTGCAGCAGGTTTCCACCTTGAAGCCAAGCAAGGGAGTCTGCGTATCTTGTGCAAACCAAACCAGATCTACTGCCATCAAGTGGGTTCTGACTCATAGCAAGCCTGTAGGCAAGGGTAGAACTGTTCCAGAACTGTCCCATGGTTTTTCAAGCTGTAAATCTTTATGGAAACAGACTGCCTTATCTTTCTTCCACAGAGTGGCTGGTGGGTTCAAACCACTGACATTTTGGTTAGCAGCACAGTGCTTTAACCACAGCACCACCAGAGTTTCAGAAGACCCTCTCATCTCAGGGCTGGCTTCTCAAACCAAAGAGGGGGTTGGAAAATGGAAGTTTTCAAAAAGTAGCATTTGGGATCACCAGTCAAATGGTTTTAGGTGGTGGTTTCTGTTGGCAGGTTTGTGTGCTGGCGAAGAGCATGGAACCTCACTGCCTGGGTTTGAGTCCTGGAAGATCTCACCAGTAGCAGTAGTTGGGCAGATTCCTTAATCTACACTGCATTCTTTATCTGTAAAAGGAAGTTAAAGAATAAGTGAGAATGCACTTCAAGCACTTAGAACAGGGCCTGGCACAGAGTAAAAGCTAAAGAATTCCCAGTGGTGTTGGCCTGAGTAAACTAGAACCTGACCTGAGAAGTGAGGACTGGACTCCTGACTTCATCATACTGCATACTGAATAACAAATTCTTGTCCTCTGGGACTGATTTTCAATTATTGGTCACTGTGGGATCAATGAGGAACTGATGTTCAATAGAAAATACTGCTTATCGATTAGAATTTTGCTTCTGCCCAAGGTCACATGGTCTTGGCAAGGTGGCTAAATTAGTGCCTTTTCTGAGTTTGCTTCATCTGTAAAATGGATCTGCCGCCCACCAAGTGGTAAGTGAAGCCCAGGGGAGGAAAGCTCTGAGGCCTGCCAAGGCTTTGGTGGGATTTCAGTAGAAGCTGGGCTGTTTGCACCCACGTCTCTGGGTGTGCTGTGACGGGCTTTAGGGGGTGGCTGTGGCTGCAGTGACACTTCTCTCCCGCAGGTCCACACAGGCATATGCGTGTTAGGCATTGTTGTCATGGCTTTCACCAATTCTCTGATGTGGACGTTCTTTAGCCGGGGCCTCAGTTTCTCCATGTCTTCGGCCATTGCATCTGTCACAGTGACCTTTTCAAACATCCTCGGCTCGGTAAGTAGTCTTCCCAAATCTGGGCTCTGAAAAGTAACGATTGTCACTCTTTATTTGTGTGAATTGTCCTTGGGGAACTCCTGCTTTCCCGAAGGAAATAAGGCAGGAACTGAAGTAGAGGCTTTGCTGTGGCTCTTTTTCTGTGCAGTCAGCTCACCAGAGCCTTCTGACCAACATGCCACATGCTGGCAATGGAATGTGACTGTGACTTTACAGGGCCTCTGTTAGGAGCTGGTTCTCACAGGGTCAGTGGGCCAGTCTGGGTAGTCCCCTCACATCTCTCCCCCAGGTCCCCACTGGTTGATTCTGCTTCTCAACTTGTCTCTTAAAAACAGATCTGTATGCTCCAGAGGGTTTGTGTGAACAAACCTAACATGGTACAGGATTGATTATTCATTTTAGATCCTTGAGAAGAAAACAGTGGATCCCAAGCTGCTCACAGACTCAGGGTGGCCAGATTCCTGGGGCCTAGTCCACACTGATTATGTCAGAATCTCCAGATGGTGGAGTCTAGCCCCTCTAGTAACTGTGATGTACAGCCAGGCTGGGAAGCCCCTATCTATGATATCTCAATAGAGGTTGGGCTCCCAGTGGTCCAGTTTGAGTTCCAGCTGAAGGACTGGGCTGCTGAGATGTTTATGGGCCTGAGTACATGACATGCATATGTTCTGATGAATTAGGCAGACCTCATTGTCTCAAGGTTTTGAGATACAATAGTGTCCATAAGCTTGGCCTAAACTTGTTCTGTATAAACTGGGCTTTTGCTAGGAAACTTTCTGTGCTGTGGTCGTAATAGTCTCTTTGGTTGTACTTGAAGCATTGTAACATTTTCTAGCAGTGAAGCTTCCTGCTCATGTTTTTGCTAACTCCCTTAGTAGGGCTATGCAGCTGTTGTAGCCAGCTATGGTAGCTCCTGGATGTGGAGGTTGAGGTAACTGTTTTCCTACCACAGCACCTCCCCACTCAGTGGAAGGCCATGAACCTATTATTCCTGAGGACACTGAGTCAGGTGAAGGCTGGAGGACACAGCACAGCTTGGCAGAGAACTGTGTGGGTTGTTCCAGAATTGGAGCCCAAGAGCTTAAGAGACGTGGTCCTGGTAGTTTTGTCAAACCTCCTCTTCATCTTGAAGACAGAAACAGCTGGGCCAGAGCAGAGCACTAGATTTGGTGTCAAACCTGCCTTGAGATTGGGATGGGGATGGTGGTGGTGGTGGCACTTCTTGTGTTTCACACACCCCACATGTGGCTGGGGTTGACAAGCCACCAGCTCCCCTAGCAGAGCTGTGGTCTTCAATTGCAAGGCTGGATGCGTGCAAGCCCTCCACTCCTCACCTAGCCTCTCTAAGCTGCCTTCCTCACCCTTTCGTTGGTCAGGGCTGAGGCTGTGCTGGTGGGTGATTGTGATGGGCACAGACACCAAGTAGTGAGTGCCTCTCTTTAAAAACATGCTGTAAGACCGAGGCCCAGAGCTGGAGTAACGTCACAGAGTGACGCTTTGTGACCCTGAACTGCCAGCTTATGTCCTGGTGACTGCAGCTACTGTGTGGCTGCTATCTTCACCTCGTAAACATGGAGAGAAATTCTCACACTAGATGGAAGTGAAGCCCAACTGTGCAAAGCTGACCTGCTTGCTGTCCCTCATTCTGAAGGCCCTGTGCAGCCCAGCTGTCTGAGGTCAGGCTTCCCTAAAGCCTTTCTTCCTTCTGGGATCCTGAGGCCAGCAAGGTGGCACTGGCTGCCCTGGGCTGAAACTGAGCCCAGCCAGCCCTGGAGTTGAAGGAGGAAGGACTCGGGAGCCAGGGCTCAGTGCTGTGAACACCAAGCCCACCGTGTGCTGGTCCTGCCTGCCTGCTCTGTGCTGAGTTTTTGTCATGGCCCTTGCTGGGGCCCAATTCTGTGAGTAAGGCAGGTGAGATGGGAGTGAGTAGAGTGACCAGCCTGAAGGTACAGTTGAGTTTCAAGCCCAGGGCTTTTGGCTTCATGCCTTTCCTCCAGCTCCTAGGTGGAAAGTCCATCAGAGGGGCATGACATTGGGCCCACCCGCCGTGGTCAAGTCCATCAGCACTGTCTGTACCTGCCTTACAATCCTGTCTGTCCTCTAGGCTCTCCTGGGCTATGTGCTGTACGGAGAGTGCCAGGAGGTCTTGTGGTGGGGAGGAGTGTTCCTCATCCTCTGCGGACTCACCCTGATCCACAGGAAATTCCCGCCGACCTGGAAGGCCCTTCCACAGAAGCAGCAGTAGCACCGTTGGCTGCATGGACCAACTGGAAAGACAACGATGGTGCTGGCCCAGGCTCAGCCAGAGGGAGGAGCCAGGCCAGCTCAGCCTCTGGGCCAGCCCTGCTTCCAGAGCAAGCAGGCCTTCAGGCATGAAGCTCTGGCTTCCGTAAGGGGAGGTGCGACCGCAGCAGTGTTCCAACTGACGCTTTCTTCATGTGTCTGTCTAGTGCTTTTGACCCTCGCGCCCCCCAGCTGCCCAGGGAGCCTCCTCAGCAGATGAGCCTTGACAGATGCCAGAAGCCCTGGGGTGTGTCTGCTTTCTGTGTGGTGCCTGAAGCCAAGCTGTAATTGTAGTCCTGTTGCAGGACTAAGGCCAGTCACATAACACACTCAAGTCAGTGACTGGTGGGGCTTGCTGATACTTCATGCTGATGTCCTAAGCCATCTGTGTCATGTGTTTGTATTGTGGCATGAGAAGGAAAACTGGGGTAATAAATACTTTTTTTTTTTTTTTTTTAAAGTTAAAATGACTAGATATAGCATCTTCATTTCTCTACTCTTTGGAGTAAGCAGTAGCAGCCAAGGTGAGCTGAAGTTCCCAAACTGGAGGGTACAGGCATGTGGGCGTGGGGGCCACCAAGCCTCTGCCCCATTGCTGGCTCCTTTGAAACATGTTCTCAGCTGTTCCACGTGTGTGTTTCTTCCTGAGTTCACATGGCTGGAACTCTTCCAATTCAGAAAGGTCTGTCCAGTTCCTTGGTGTTCTCAAGGAGAAAAGTGTGACCTCATTTTGGGGATCTTATTTTACTTATTAGGAAGGAAGCTGGCCTAGAATGTTATCCCACTACCACCACCACCACCACCCTTAGGCTTCTTCGGGTCTTTACTTTTTTATCCCAGGTCTTTTGGATTCTTTTTTTGTCTTAACTCTGTGTGTGGAATGCCTAGTTCCAAACCATCTGTGCTGCTTGCACACCCTCCCAGTGTAGCTTGGAGGCTGGAGCTCCCCTACTTGTCCCCAGGGACTCTACTGTGTACCCAAAGAGCCCTGAGCTTGGCCCCATTTTCTTCAAGTTTCCCTGCAGGTGACAGGACTGACAGCAGTGGCTGGGAGTGAAGGTCTCCAGGCTGGTGCTGCCTCCCACTGCCAGTCCCTGAGGTAGCGCTTTACCCCTCTCCTCCCTTTCTCAGTGTTTGCACATTGATAGAACAAGCTTCTAAAGCTGGGTTCATGTCACCTTCTGACGTATAAATGAAATACAAGCCCACCCCTCAAGCTTCTCTCTTGCTACCTCCTTAGTCCCTGCCGTCTCTACCTCCCTACCATGATTAGTCACCCCAGACAGCTGTGTGTCAGTAGTTCTCAAGCCCACCCTGTCCATTCCTGCCTCCATGCTTTTGCAGTGCTTTTTCCTTGCTTTGGATTCTTCTTCCTCCTCACCTCTCCCAGCAAACTCCTATTCCTCCTTCAGAACCTCCAGGGCACAATTTGCTGCTGTCTGAGGTCTCACAGGGGCCCAGGCAAAGCTGTGATTCATAGCACATTAAACAGTTTACCTCACTTTAATACATGTAAGCTTTCCAGCCATACCATGAGGGAAGTGCTCTTGTTATTCCCATTTTAGAAGTGGGAAAGGATCCCTGGGTGGTGCAAATGGTGAAGTACTCGACTGCTAACTGGAAGGTTGACAGTTCAAACCCATCAGTGGTGCCTCAGAAGAAAGGCCTGACAATCTGCTTCCAGAAGTCACACAACCTTGAAAATCCTATGGAGCAGGTCTGCTGTGCACATGTGGGGTCACCATGAGTTGGAGTCGGCTTGACAGCAACTAACAAAAACAGGTGAGGACACTAAGGCTCAGCTCAGTTTCCTCAGTCAAGTGAGGAAGGTCACACAGCTAATGAGCGGCAGAACCATTGTCAGTCTGGCTCCAGGACTCAGCGTCAGCCCCTGCACTCTCTTGCCTCCCACATCAGCATATGAAAGTCCCAGAGAGATCCTGCTGTAGAGAGGCCTATCTTACATTGTTAACACAACATTCCCCAAATCTCAGAACCTTTTCCCACCAATTATATCCTATCTTCTCTGAGACCCCCTCCTGTTCCATGGAACATACTCTTTAGGTCTCCCTGCCCTGACCTTATCATTTTACCAGTGAGGAAGGCAAAGCTCTACATGGTATGTTCACGTACGGGTCACACTTCCACTCAAGACCAGGCCCAGAGGTTCCTGGGAGCCAGTGGTCACGCCCCCTGGCCAGTCAGTGAAAAGGGCTGAGAGAAGTCTATCTTGGAGCTGGCATTGTCCTGAGGGGACACAGCCTCCCTTCTAGTGACCTGCCAAATACATAATGATGGCTGGTGTTGACCAAAGACCCTTGCACTCTCAACAAATAGGCCTATGAGGGAGATATTTTCCCAGAGGAAGATGAATCATTTTTCAAAAAGCAAAGAGATACACCTCTAGCCATATAGGAAGGTGGAGTTGTTCACTATAGTGCTTTCCTCATTTCAGAGGTATGTTGATAAAGAGAATAAACTCTGTCAGTGTTTGTCTTGCTGGTGTGCAGCCTGGATGATGGCTTGAACTTTATTTTGTTTGCTCTGGGGCTGGCATTTTTACTTGCAGGTTTGCCAGCGATGCCTGGATAGGGTATCTGTTACCATTTTCTTAGTTTTTTATTGTACTTATTTCTTTTTGAAAGTATACAATTTAGCTGTTTTTTAATATGTTCACAAAGTTGCAAAACTCACTAATTCCAGAAAATTTTTTCACTCCCCAAAGAAACCTCCATGTAGTAATCACTTCACATTCCCTCCTTCCCCAGCCCCTGGCAGCCACTACTTTCTGTTTCTGTGCATCTGGCCTGGACTTTTCATATAATGAAATACAAAATATGGTCCTTCAAAGTTAATCCATGTCGTAGCATAATTCAGTGCTGTGTTCCTTTTTATGGCTGAATAATATTCCCATATGAGTTCATAATATTCCCTCATATGAGCTCTCTGTTCCTTTCCTTTGCCCATTCTTATTTTGGTTTGGAGCTTTGATCCCTGTGGGGTTTTTTTCCCTGCTCACACGAGCCCTTAGTCACTTGCTCTCCCCTTCGTCCCTTCATGCAATTTTAATTCTCTGCACAGCACTTCTCACTTCCAGGAACTAACTTGTGGGTTTACTCGATTTTTTTCTCCATCTAAATTGTGAGCACTTGGAGGGCATGGGCTGTGTCTGTTTTGGTTCACCGTATTAAGTAGTCTCTGACGACAGATTCCAGTTATGACTAATCACACTTTCGACTGTCTTTTTTTTTGTATGTACAATGTTGCAGTGCATTATTTGTTGTTGTCATCATTATCTGTATGTTGAAATATGTTTCTAACCCTTAAAGACAAAAATTGCATTTATAAAAATACTGATAATAAAAGGCAATAATGAAACAAAAAAATTAGGTATTCAACTTACATCAGTATCAACTTGCTACCGAGGCATCGAAACAGAACCCTGTCACTAAGTTGGGAACTTGTTATATTCTCAGGGACTTGTAATTTGGTAGGTATTCACAAAATTTGCTGTTGAATGAATGAGCAAATGAATAAGAGAAAATGCAGATAATAAGTGGAACAGCCAGCATGCCAGTGAAAGATACATATATTAAACATTTAAAAGAGTGAGATACTTTCTGTGGAGAAGCAGCAGCACCTGCACTGTGTGAGCACATCCCTTCCTACCTGACACAATCCAGCCAAATGCCACCAGAGCTAAAAGGCAAACCAGTCCATTGTGCTCTTGGCATTGGTGCTGCTGCCACACCAAACCCACTTCCATTGAGTCAATTCTGACTCATAGTGACCCTGTAAGACAGTAGAACTGCCCCACAGGGTTTCCAAGGCTGTAATCTTTATGGAAGCAGATTGCCTTATCTTTCTTTAGTGGAGTGGCTGGTGGGTTCAAACTGCTGACCTTTTGGTTAGTAACCGAATGCCTTAACTACTGCACCACCGGAGCTCCTTGATGCTACTATATGGGGGAGGGGGAGATCCAAAATATGTAATTTGGGCAACAGTTCCTTGTTGCATTCTTACTAACAGCAGTTAGTTGCCTGATAATCAAGAACTGGTTAGGCAAATACAGCAGAATATCCTGTGCCGGTGAATAGGAAGGAGTCTGAAACAGGAGGATAGTAGGCAGAGTCCACAAAGCCAGGAAGTGGTGTGTCCTGCAGTGCCCTCTGATTGGTGTGCACAGGGTAAACATGAGAGTCTTTGGGGTTTATTGGATTCTATTACTTCTGCTATAAAGTTGACATACATGATAAGAAAAACTTCAGGTAAAAGAAGAAAAGATTTTGCTCCTGTGGATCTGTGGGTGGCTATTTACTAACTCCTCCCCTGTCGCCATAAAAAAAGGGGAAAAAAATATCAGGATGGAAATCTTTATGATTTAGACCCAGAGCATGGCACTGTGAGCAGCCCCTGTGGCGCCTAGGACAACAGGGATGGCCTGGGCCGCTCGCTCTTCCCCAGAACTGGGAGATGGGTTGGGAGGTGAGATCAGAGACTGGTGGAGGAGCATGTGTGAATCCCCCAAAGCAGTGCTGGTCAGGCTTTTCTTCCAAAACAGACTCTGACCTTCCCTTGGGAGAGGAGGACACAGGGCAGAGCCTCTCCTGACCTCTATAGGAAACACCTTCCCCCAGGTACATGGTGTTAGGGCATCTCCCAAGCTGCTACCTGAGTTCCTTGTTCTTTTGTGAGGCAGTCATCCTAGCCACCCTCAGCCAATTCAGAACCTACTGTGGGCCAGGCACTGGCCAGCACAAGAGAACCAGCTGTGGTATTGCCACAAAGCCCTTCTTCACAGTTAATAAACAGCTCTCTGAGCTGTGTGCTTACTTGTTCATTCATGGAGTCCTGGGCCGTTTACACAGCCATTCGTTCATCTGACCAACGCAGAAACAAAATTCTGTTCCTAGCTCTAAAGTCAAAGTCTTGAGAGTTTCATTTTGAAATGTGTCTTCATCT